GGTTATTCATGCTTTATAAACAGGTTATTCATGCTTTATGAACAGGTTATTCATGCTTTATAAACAGGTTATTCATGCTTTATGAACAGGTTATTCATGCTTTATAAACAGGTTATTCATGGTTTATAAGAAGGTTATTCATGATTTATAAGAAGGTTATTTGCGCTTTATGAACAGGGTATTCGTGTTTTATTATTTATGTTTTTAAGTGATTCTTAAAGCCTTAATAAATGTTTATTAAACTGTAAACAATAAAAAATCTATTTTTAGGAAGTGATAAAAATAAATTAATGTTGATGTTAAGTTTATGGTAACTGATTAAGTCACATTATTAATGATTTTAAGGAAATCAACAACTTGTCACGGTTTTTAAACTTTACATAAAAACAGGAAATATTGACCAGATTAATGACCAGGATATGAATTATCAGTTCAGACTAGTTCTTAGTTTCATATTTATTACAATAAAATAAAACTGGATGGCTCACATACATGCAAACACACCAATGAAGAACATTTTTTGCTGTATTTGTTCCTAGAATGAGTGAAACTTGTTTGTTTTGTGRCAGAAGATAAAGCAGGTCTGGTCTCACCTGGACCCCCTCTGTTCTGTAGCTGTGGGCGATGCAGTGGAAAATCCCTCGGTACTTCCTCTGAGGCTGAGCGTCCGCCTGCAGCCGACTCTTCACCACATCAGCAGGAGTGGCCGTGACCCAGGAGATGGACCCTGAGGAGGAGGAGGAGGAGGAGGAGGAGAAACATCAGGTTCAACTACTGAGAAACAAGAGTCCAGGTTCTGAGACCAGATCCATCCTTCATCCATCCAACCATCCATCCATCCATCCATCCATCCATCCATGATCCATCCAACCATCCATCCATCCATCCATCCATGATCCATCCAACCATCCATGATCCATCCATCCAACCATCCATGATCCATCCATCCATCCATCCATGATCCATCCATCCATGCATCCATGATCCATCCATCCATGCATCCATGATCCATCCATCCATGCATCCATCCAACCATCCATGATCCATCCATCCATCCATGATCCATCCATCCATCCATGATCCATCCAACCATC